GGGCCATAGTCCCTCCTTGGACTGGCACAACTGCAGTGTGATAGAGGGGAGCGTGGCAGGGCATGGAAGTTGAAATTGTCCATGTACTTTGCTGCTGGAGAGAGAAATATCTGCTGGATAGACACATTCTCTGTAGCTTGACCCATCAGGATCCAAGTGTACCAGGAGGCCATTGACTTGTGTTGCCATATTGACTCTCATAAACCAGCATTTTACATGACTTGAGACAAAAACCAACATCATCTTGTGTCTCACAGCATTACCAAGGAGCGAACAGAAGTTGTCCTTCAGGGAACATCCAGCCTGGATCCTAATGACCCCACTGCTGTCTGGGAGGAGTATGACTTCAAATGCAAACCTGGGGACTTGAAGAGGAGGCCATGCTTTATCACCCCCTACCACTACCGCCTGGACTGGCTTATGTGGTTCGCTGCCTTCCAGGTACGTGCCTTGGATGTTCTGAGACTTGGGTGTCCCTGGACCAGGAAAAACAATTTCTATGAATTTACTAGGTGCTGGGGTGGGTGAAGGGATATTTGAAGCCCTGGTGAAGTTAATTATGTATTAAAAACAGAAGGTTTTATTCCTAAAGGATGTCTGCTGCTACTGGAATGAAACTCTTGGAAATTTTATGTGAGGCTTTTTAATTGTTTCTCAGCAATAATGAGTTAAAGACATTGAGAAAGCCCCTGGATTGCCCCTCCCTCGTGCAGCGGTGGCACAGCAGGGCAGAAGCTGCCTGGTGGGATGCCTGGGACTCGCCAGGGCTGGCAGCATCCCCAGCTGCTCAACTCAAACCTGTATCCCTGTTGGGGACACCCCTGGGGACACCGGCAGTTGTTCCCACTACCTGGCTACGTAGAGATGTAGAGTCCCTCAAAATATTTTCTTCACATGGTATCAGCAAACAGGTGACAGCCATAAATTAGAAAAGAGGGAGGGAAACTTGTTAAAATTAATTCTTGTGTATCTTTTAGCTTATTCTGCAAAATCTTACTCGCCTGAGCATGAGAACTTGAACTGGATTTTACAAAACTGGGGTTTACAGCAGTGGCATGAGGCAAACCCACCCCAGATTATCACAAGCCTTTCTCTTTGTTCCTCTATCCTCTCCTGGCATATCCTCTTCCCTCGCTCCTCTCCCCCTGCCCCGAACTTCTCTGTTTGCTTTCTTTGTGGTATTTTCATTTAGGCGCCTTTTGGATTCCTCAGCGATGACATAACCATGGCTCTTCAGCTATGGTTTTAGATTTACCCTGCTAGTTTTTGTGTGCTGGAATTTCATTTAATCTGCATTAGGTATGCTTATCCCTCAGCAAGACAACAGCAAAGGTTAAAACTCCAGGCAGCGAGGATGCCCAGCATTAGATAAAGGTGCAGAAGGTTGAATGGATCATAGAATGGTTTGGTTTTTCCCCATACAGTAGTTTCTAGAGTCCATAAAGCCACGTTGCTTCAACCTCTGGATTAGATTTAATTTGGTTTTAAAAGTGTGGGATTTTTTTCTATGCTGCTGCCCCATCACTTCCCAAGCAGGCGGCCGCAGGGCTGGTTTTGCAGTTCATTGGTGGTGGCCAGGTAAGGAGCTGACATATCCAGCTCTGACAGGCTGCAGAAAAGCTGTGGAGTTTGAGGAGGGAAGATATTTACCATCCCCTTGTGCTGCTCGTGACAGGTTCCTCTTTGCACCTCATCACCGTTTGACGTACGACGCCTTCCTCTGCTCGGGGTTTTCTGTGAAACTTTCCACCTTGGCTATAGCTCCAGGATGGGCTTTGAGGAGCTGGAGAACAAGAGAGCCAGGCCCTTGGCATGGCTGGTGTGGGCTAGTGTGGTGAGGATGGCCCCAGCACAGGAACAGGAGGAGCCACCATACCACTCCACCTCTGAATTGCGATTTATTAGTTGAGTGCCTCTTAATTACCGTTCCAGTAGTACCACCATAATTACATGTCATGTAAGGTGACATTATTTTCCAGGAAACCATTTTCATGATGTTAATTTTATTATCTAAATATAATATGCCTTTTCACTTGTTCTCTAAATCCCCTCTTTGTTTCATGTGTCTTGACATCCTGAGGGTGCTGTAGCTCTGAAGTCCTTCATTTAGTCCTGCCAGGGACATAACCCCTGCAGAAACATCTCTGCATTGCTTCTCCCCATCTGCAGAAGAGGAAAAATTCCTGTGAACAAGCAGGGGTGTGTAGAAATCTGTGTGACCCTTCTTAGTTGTTCCTTGGATGGGACCTCCTTCACTCCATCACCCAACTGATACCTGGTCACCTGTGTGCAACGTGGGCTGAGGTGACCTTAACAAAAATAATGTCTATCAGTCAGTCAGGAGCTGATGTTCAGGTGCTCGTTGTTGAGGTTGGTCACTCTGGATCATCTACCTGCATTGGAGCAATTTAAACAAAGGTCTTACCTGGGGTAATGCACATGGACGTTTTTAAGAGGAGCTACTGCTGGTTGGAGAGAATGGCACGATGTGCTCATTGCATTTGCAGATGCCACCAAGCTGTGAGTACAACGAGGACAAGGACTAAGGGCCCAGTGATCTGGCTGGTTCTGGTCTGAGCAGACAGGAGAGGTGTGTGTGGTGCTGCATGTGGGCAGGACCTGTCATCTGTCACAGGACGGGATGGAGCAGAGCATTGTTCATCTCTTGGCTTGAGTCTGCATCCCAAGATGAGCACATTTATAGAATCATAGACTGGTTTGGGTTGGAAGGGACCTTAAAGCTCGTCCAGTCCCAACCCCCCTGCCAGCAGCAGGGACACCTTCCACTAGACCAGGTTGCTCAAAGCCTCATCCAACCTGGCCTTGAACACTTCCAGGGAGGAGCAGCCACAGCTTCTCTGGGCAACCTGTTCCAGTGTCTGACCACCCTCACAGTGAAGAATTTCTGGCCCCTGGGTTGTGATTGTACATTATGAAAAGTCCTTGTGAAAAGGCAAACGTGACACCGTGACAGGCGAGCAGGCATTGGGTGTGTGTGGTGTCACCCTCCCACTACACTCAGCCAAGCACCCAGTTTGGGAAGGGTGAGGCCAACTGGTGAGGGTGCAGAAGAGGAACCCACAGAAAGAGCAGTGGTGCAGGAACCTCCCATGGCAGCAGAGCCAACCAGTCTGCATCAGTGTCCAGATGTCAAAACAGTTTTAGAATCATAGAATGGTTTGAATTGGAAGGGACATTAAAGCTCATCCAGTCCCAACTCCCCTGCCAGCAGCAGGGACACCTTCCACTAGACCAGGTTGCTCAAAGCCTCATCCAACCTGGCCACAAACACTTCCAGGGAGGAGCAGCCACAGCTTCCTTGGGCAACCTGAGAAAACCTCCTGCAAAGAGGAAAGCAGCAATCAGGTTTCTCTGTCCTTGTGGAGAAGAGAGGAAATAATGGATGAAATGGCAGAATATGATTTCATCTCAGGAAAATTCAGGTTTAGGAAAAACTTTCCTCCCTTGACACTTTGTTGTGTTAGTGCAAAGTTGTCCTGTTTTTACAGAAGCTGGAGAGAAATCGTCAATGCTTTGTCTGTCCTCCAGCTCCTGATGGCAACGCTCCTGTAATTATTGGACTTCTCATTTATGGTAGGCATCTGTAGAAGGAACTCAGAACTGAGCTATGCTGTGCTGCTGGTACCAAAAGAAGTTACAATTTGGGGTAGAAAACAAAATACTGCTCATAGTTTTAGGGCTTCAAGTTGGTTACTTTTCCCGATAGCGGGATGTCTTGGACTTTACAAAAGCCAGTTGTTTATCCTATCGAAGATTTGTTTCTTCACCAGTGGGCAGCAGTAGAAAGCCTTCAGTGCTGTGAATAAAGCAAAATCAAAGGGAAGGCTTTTCCCCTCCTTACTCTGGCATGAAGGTTATTTATTCTGTTTGGAGACTGTGTTTGGCCAACGTGAAGGCACGTTCTTGGTGCTTACCAAATAATAACGAGTCAAAAAAACAAAACAAAGCTAGTGCCATCTTCATATTGTTTTTTAAAGCCTGATATCTCGTTGCATTGTACCTTGAAGCTGCTCCAAAAATCTCTGAATGTTGGGACCAGCACAGAAGCTGCTCAGAGTGGTGGTCCATGTTGCCACATCCTCCAGGGCTCTGCAAAGTGTCCATGAACCCACCACGCAGCAGCATTTGCGATGCACTGAGGAGAAGTGTGTGTTCTCCAGATAGGATGTGTAAGTTTATCGATAAACTTCTCTTCCTAAGAGAAGAGAGAAACTTTCAGCAATGGGATGGCTGCTCCCAGGTTCTCCCCTGGGTGGTAACAGGGAGTTGTGATGGAGACATCACGTTATCACACATGAACTGGAAGAGGTGAGAAAAAGGAACCCTATTTATACAGAAGACAGATTCATCTTTTTGTAAAATATTTTATTCAAGCCTCTGTCATCTTGGTCTTTCAGCCAGAAGGTGCTTACAGGAAAGAGCTTCACAGCAGCAGAATGGAGGAGGAGGTGTGTGTAACATCATAAACCCTAAACCTCATGCTCAGTGTACGAGCACAGCCTCAGCCTTTTACATTTCCTTTCCTCCCCCTTCTAAAAACACAGGCCCCAACTCACTTCCATTTTCCATCGCAGCGTTCCTACAGTTTGGTCCGTGTTCAGCGTGTAAGGATTTTATGTTCTTCTTTGCCTGACGAGGAGAGGCTGAGAGAGCTGGGACTGTTCAGCCTGGAGAAGAGCAGCCTGAGAGGGGATCTGGTCAATGTCTATAAATATCTGAAATGTGGGGGTCAATGGATGGGGCCGGGCTCTTCTCGGTGGTGCCCAGTGACAGGACAAGGGGCAATGGGCACAAACTGGAACTCCAGAAGTTCCAGACAAACTTAAGGAAAAACTTCTTCACTGTGAGGGTGCCAGAGACC